GATCTGAAATCAAGAGGCAGACCAACCAACTGAGCCACCCAGGTGCCCTAGAAGTAATGTTTAGATTGTCATTTGTTTTGAGATAAGGCCAGAATTATCTGGCAAGTTCAAGAAAAAGCTACACAGCTCCTGAGACCTGTAGAAGCTCAAGCATGTATATCTTTAGAAAAACTCTCTCCCCAAGTGGAGAAAGCTATAGGACAACTAATGAATTTAGGGTCTCCAATATTTTCGATCTTTAGATCTGTTTTAGCGAGAATAAATAAACCAGGGATTATTTATTTCTAAATTACTATCAGAAATATATAGATAAGACGAGTATATCAGTCAGAAAGAAGAGGGAAAGGGGATTGGTTCATGCCAGATATGTGTATTGATGGCTAAGGATCATTTGGAGGAGAAATTATTATGGGTGCAATTACACTTCATTTTTTTTTGTCATGCTGATTTCAACTCTTCTTTCATTGTTTCCAGATCATACATTGATATTTGATTATATGTACATTCGAGTTTTTATGAACAAATCCAGTCTAAGCATTATTATTGGTTTTTTTACCTAGTGTTGGCAAACATTTTCTATAAAGGGACATGTATATGTATTTTCGAAGATTGAGGAGGAACAGCTGTTCTGTGTTGCAAGCATATTCAACTCTGAATTACAGCACAAACAGTCATGAATGAGGCATGAGCTGTGTGCCAATAAAACTTTATTATACAAGCTAGCTGGGCGATGGATTTAGCCTGCAGGTAGTGGTTGTCACCCCTTTGTAAGTCATTTATGAAGTCTGGAAATAGTTGTGCAGAGTAGTTTTTTCTAGCTTTTTTAAATTTATTTGAAGCAAGAAGATTTTATTTTTGGTTATTTGTCCTGCTTTTAAGTCTGTAAGAACAGAAAGAAGAGCTTGGAGGAACACCTTGGTGGTTCTAGCTTGGTTGAGCATCTGACTCTTGATTTCCTCAAGTCATACTCTCTCTCAGGATCTTGGGACTCGCCCCGTTGGGCTCCTTGCACTGAGCCTGGAGCCTCTTTGAGATTCTCTCTCTCCTCTCTCCTCTCTCTCTCTCTCTGTCTCTGCTGCTCCTCTCTGTCTGCCCCTTTCCCTGCATCTCTCTAAAATAAAATGCCATAATAAAAAATAAATACAATCAATAGACTCTGAGGCATGGGAGTTTTGATTCACATATTGCCTAATAAACTTCACTTGGTTTCTAGTTTTCTTTTAGCTGGCACAGGACTAGACATGTGATTGTCCCATCTCAAATCCAGATGGGGCAGAGAGGCAAGGAGCTAAAGACTGTACTTCCAAAAAGAGGACAGACAAATGCAGGCAAAGACTTCGGATACAGACTTCACAAGATGCATTAATTTTGGAGCCATTAAACTGCTTCTGTACATAGTTTGATTTCTCTAGCCAGGAAACTGGTTAGACTGTGAGATGAATAATACTTCCTTCCTGGTTGTACATGTGGTAAGCAATGACCAAACTAGAAACTGTGTAATTCTTTCTCCTTATTATTGTTGCAAATTAATTCATGTTTCTTATGAATTCAAATCAATAATATTGAAGGGTTCCATTACTAGTCATACAATATATTTTTCTCTCCTTATCCCCCCCCATGTATGTATAAGAGTACACATTACTGAACTAATTAATATTAGTATGTTGATGTAAATGGGCCTCTTTTACTACTTAAACAGGATCCATTATACATATGTTTTCATGTCAACTTTTCATTAGGTATATCACTGGTATCTTCCACTTCAGTAACTTACAGATTCTCAACATCTTTTGACTGACATCTTAGTATGCACTATTTACTGTATGAATCCATACTCTAGTTTGTTGAAACATTTTCTACTAATGGACTGTTTAACACATTTTTTGCTCTTTGACAAACAGTGCTACAGAAAACATCCTGATTTCACAAGAAATCTTATTTTCTTTCAAAGATAGTTTATATTCAAATTATTTTTTAGTTTAAGTTATTAATTTTGAGAGAGAGACAGAGCACAATCAGTGAAGGAAGAAGAGAAGGAGAGGCAGAATCCCTAGGCATCGTACCATACATCTAGAAAGTCTCTGCCATGTGGGAGCTCTCGATCATGAACTAGTCAGATCACTGACCTGAGCAGACACTCAAGAGTCAGATGTTTAACCAACGTGGAGCCACCCAGGAGCCCCTCAATATTATTTTTTTTTAAGAGGACACATTCGATTGCCTGGGTGCAGTTTTTGGTTTCTTGATCTAGTCGTTAACCATGATCTCACAGTATTGAGATCAGCCCCATGTCAGGCTCACACTGATAGTGCATTTAAGTACAACTTCTTCCCCTCCTCTCTCCTCACTCTCGTGCCTCTCTCAAAATAAATAAATAAACTTAAAAAAATAGTAGGATATTATCCTTTTTGTTTCCAGTAAGAATTTTCTTAGCTTGCTTAGGTCATTAACCTTCATATCCTGAATTATATATAAACCCAAAAGTAATCTACCTTCTACATATCTTTCACACTATTAATGAGATAGTATTGAGTCAAGTCCACAGTGCTTTATATACAGATTTCTAAAGCTAGCCTCTGATTGCTGCTCATTAAGAATATTTTTCTTAGCTATTCATACTAAAATTTTGAAATGGTGCTTCTATTTGACTTTGCATTTTTTTTAGATATGCCTCCAGCCTGAGACTAAAGCAATCATTGAAAATTTTCAAAACAGGACTTCAGTCTTTCTGTTATATAGATGGTGGTTCAGTGCTGGTCACATACCATATGACAAACCAGTACAAACAGGTAATTGAGAATATCAATTTATGTATATATTTTCTAAGTTGATATGAATTCCAATTAGGTAATGTTCCTTCTAAATTTTTTTAAAATTGTATATATTAGCATCCTCCATGAGCAACAACCAATTGGGAAGATTATTATATCCAGCTAAGCTACTTGGAGGAGAGAGGTCAGATCTGTGATGGGCCAGCTTTATCAGTGCAGCCATCTTGTCACATTTGTTCCAATCTAGTTCACAAACACATTTATTGAATAATTATTATGTCTATGGACATTGGGAATACAAAGTGAATAAACACAATGCCTGCCTCAAGAAACTCATACTGTGTTTACACAAATATTAGCAATACATGGGAATGCAAGCTGGTGCACCACTTGGAAAACAGTATGAGGTTCCTCAAAAAAAAAATAGAATTACCCTATGACCTACCATCACTATGAGGCATTTATCCCACGGGATACAGGTGATTGCTTCTGAGGACACTGGCATGCCCCCATGTTCTAGCAACTTGCACAATAGCCAAGTATGGAAAAGAGCTAAATGCATCATCATGGATGAATGGATAAAGAAGATGTGGTATATATATATATATATATATATATATATATATATATATACTAACACCACACACACAATGGAGTTATTACTCTGCAATCAAAAAGAATGATCTTAATTGCAACTATATGGATGGAACTGGGCATTATTGCTAAGTGAAATTAGTCAGAGAAAGACAAAAATCATTGACTTCATCATATGGGACTTTAAGAACAAAAGACAGGATGAACATCTGAGGAAGGACACAAAAACTAATGATAAAAAAATGGGGAGGGATGAAAACATAGAGACTCATAAATGTGAGAACAACAGGGTTACTGGAGGGAGAGGGGAGGGGGTGTGGAGAGGGGATGGTGGCTAAATGGGCGATAAGGGGACACTTTACTCCTGAAATCATTGTTGCACCATCATGCTAACTAATTTGGATGTGAATCTAAAAATAAAAATGCAAACAAATTAATAAAAAAAATTAGTAATACAGAGATCGCCTTCCCTGCTTTAAACCTTGACTGAGCTTATTTTAAAACAAAAAAAATTTTTTAGTTATGTTATTTATTCTTGAGAGAAGAGAGAGAGGAACAGAGATAGGGGGGAGGGGCAGAAATGT